TAAACCCACTATGTTGGAGTCCTTTTTTGTTACAAAATCTAAGAATGAAACAAAAATGTCTCAAAATTGGTCATTAAATCAAAACAAGACATAAAGCAGCTTTCGTCAATACAAAATTTTTGCAGGAAAGATTAAAAAAAAAAATAAATTACGTACTTTCATCCAGATCAGCTGAGAAGCGATTAATAATTCGACCAACGGGTGTTGAATGGAAAAAAGACATGGGGCAGTGAAGAATCCCGGAGAAGCCCTTATCATGAAGTTGACTGGAGGCACGGAGAGTGGCCTGGAGAAAAAGAAAAAGACAAAAATTGTACATAAGATTTTAAATATTAGGCCGTTAATCTGTAAGGAAAGAGAGAGAAAGTTTACAACAGACATCATCATCATCATCATTGCCTTTCTCACCCTTCACCAGGATGTAGGACCGGACAAACACCTTCCACCTTTCTCTATCCTGGGCTAGCCTCTTAATGATGTTATGCCACGTCTTCCCACTTTTCTGTACTTTTCTGTACATCGATTTCTGACAACAGACATATTTAAAAAAAAAATATCTCTATGAGCTGTTTGCCAACGTATTTGTTGATGCCATACAGCTGTTAAAATTTACTCCAGCTGATGTACAATAGTAGTTAAGTAGACCCCCAAATTAACTCACCTAATGAAAGAGAATTTTGCCACTTCTCCTGAGGACACCCAGTGCCCATGACAACAGAAACTTACAAAAGGTCTGTGCATCTTTTATTTTGAACTTTCATCATAGGAAATTTTCTAAGCTAATTTCTCAATACTCATCCTTGAGGCCCCCCCCCCTCCCCCAATCTTTGAAGAGCTATAAATAATACATTTTTACAGAAAGATCCAATTGTACCCAGATGAAGTGCAAGATGCTATAGCAAAATGAACCTGCTAAAATGTCAGTTTCAATACTTTGTATCTCGCGATAAAGCTGATGACAAAAACTCTGAGGACTCACAATAATCTCATTATTACCAATGTTGTTAACTCGAAGTGCTGAGTAGGAAGAATAAGTCTGTCCCCATGGTTTTATGCACCCCGAATAATTTAACGAAGTTTGTTAATTTTTTGAATAATTTCTGAATATTTCCCTTTATCTTTCTTTGTTGAAATTAACAGAATCGCATAATTTCACATTTTTCGGCTCAGTTTGCATAATTTCAGAATATTTTTAGCATAAAAACGCAGGGACAGATAAGTACTGGTATATATGACTGACAACTCGACTGCTTGGTGAAAGACTCTGAAAAACATCAGACACTTTCCAAAATGGCGTATGGCAGTCTTACACTTACACTAAGCAGTCATAGTATTGATATTTTTTTTTTGGTAAGTGTTTTACTGCGCTCGCAACTGCATTAGGTCATATGAGCATGCGTAATATTGATCTACCAAAAAGAAGAATACTCACCTTTACAAGGGAGAAGGAGCGTAGAAACATGGTGGAAATGAGGATGGGGATGAACATGGTGTAGATGAGCATGTAGTGATGTTTGTCTGGATTGTCCACCACTCTCAGACTTGGACGTGTCATGTTGCCGATCGTGATATTCACACTCTGAAATATACAATATCTCACTGTAACTACATTTTCAAGTTTATAATCTGAAATATACAATATCTAACTGTAACTACATTTTCAAGTTTATAATCTGAAATATACATAATCTAACTGTAACTACATTTTCAAGTTTATAATATGAAATATACATAATCTAACTGTAACTACTTATAATCTTAAATTTACAAAATCTAACTGTAAGTACATTTTCAAGTTTATAATCTGAAATATACCTATCTAACTGTAATTATTGAATATATTATAAAGTTTGTAATCTGAAATATACAATATCTAACTGTAATTACTAAATACGTTGTAAAGTTTATAATCTGAAATCTACATAATCTAACAGTAACTATTTTAACACATTATAAAGTTTATTAAAATGAGGTTTTCGGTAGATAGCAGTAATAGTTAACAGTGGACATTGTCAATGATATGCCAAATGGATAAAGAAAAAAACCTTATGATTTTAACAAATTAAACCGTATCATCACTTTCCACCCTCTTTCCAATACTCTAGAAAGGTCTCTTTCTAACACAGTTGGGTGATACAACACTCCCCCCACCGCCCCCCCCCCCCCACCCCCCCAATTTCTTTAACAGCCAACTATTTTATCAGAGTTTATAAGAGTGAAGTCCACTTTATTATCCCTAATTTCCTACTTGTCTCATTATTTTGAAATATGGTAAGACAAATACAGTGCGACCCAGTGCTTTCTTGTCATATCTCCATTTTTAGTACCAGTGAAAACAGTTCATAATAAAGGGTAACTTTAACTCTTTAAGCCTTGAGTTTTTTCCACCGTTTTCCTGAGTTTTTTTCTACAGTCATCTAAACCTAGTGCACCACGTACCATTATAACCCCAAAAGCTTGCCTCCAACTTTCAAATAGCGGAAACAAAGGCTTAATCATTACTAAAAACTTTGTGCTCGAATAGTGCCGAAAAACAAGCAAAAACGAGCACGAAATAAAACGAAACAGTTGTCACTAGTTACTGGATGCTCCCAGAGTCCGATGGGGAACAGGTTTATTACTGCCAGACGGTTCAAAGAGTTACGAAGATTTCACATTTTCACTGTTTAAAATAACGGAAATATATATACAACAAGAAAGCTCTGAGGTGGCAACAGTCTGAACATACTGACCCCTCCACCCTGCTCCAGCCAGTAGGACAGGTACCACCCAGCCAGGGACACACTGACCACAGGTAGGCAGAAACAGAAGAAGACGAAGAGCACCACGGGGTATCCTCCCATCGACAGGATGTACTGGTGCACGACCCAAGCCTCCAGCGACCCGCTCTCCATCTCCTCCTCTGCTATCAACTTTCCTGAAGAAAAAAACCCAACAAAGACAATGAAGACTTTCTGGCAGTATAACCTACACTATCCGTACGTCGTGTTTTACTATCGTATCCATACAACGTGGGGAACTCTGTGCCACCACTTAACCCTATCCGTACGTCGTGTTTTACTATCGTATCCATACAACGTGGGGAACTCTGTGCCACCACTTAACCCTATCCGTACGTCGTGTTTTACTATCGTATCCATACAACGTGGGGAACTCTGTGCCACCACTTTCCAAAAAGGATTTAATCCGATCTGTATGCTTTGCATACCAGTCTGTCAAAATGATTTTTTGAGAAATACTGACAGTTTCAAAGAGATCTTCGCACTAGAAGTATTCTTAAATGTGAAGAATACAACCCCGGGGTACAAAATGACCCCAGGGCATATGGATAGGGTTAACACTTTGCAGTCACACAGCCAGCAGCACAAAACACCTCATCTGGTCACCCAGCCAGGAGAGCGACAGCAAAGGACTTCTTAGGCCTGGCGCCAAGTGACTGGAACGGAGAATTTTCACCGTCGCATTATTGCGCCAAGTGACTGCAAAGTGTAAACCCTTCCAGCCCCACGCGCGTATATTTTCAGCAGTGCCTGTACCTCCCACCGTCCTAAGAGTGTATACTCTCAGTTTTGGGAGGTACCGAATTTGCGCATTTGTCTAAATTAGCGAACCTAGTTAAATCTTAATTTTCATAATATTAGTTCATTTCCCTTTAAACATCGTTACATGTTATTATCTAAACCTCATTACAAAGATACTTTATGATTTTTTAGAATGCATGCCTCTTTTTCTGAAATACTGCTGTATTGACTGGGATTGGGGTTAGGGAGTGCACAAAAATGGCGGGTGCTGGAAGGGTAAGACGCATAACATGTGTAATTTTTCAGTTTTCAAAGACTCTCAAGCTACTGAAGAAACCAAACTTTTGCAGCCATTTTCAGTAATTTTACCACTAAAATTAGATGTGTCACAAGAGAGTAACAAACCCAAAAATGAAAGAGGAGAGATAAGGTCGATAAATGACTGCTATGCAAGAAACAGTGAACCACACTACAGCAGCACCCGCCAACTAACCTACCTCGCATAAAAAGAGATAGAAGCAGGGCTAAAAGGCTCGGGGAAAGAGAAGCACACAGACCTTGTTCCTTTGCTTCAGCAGTAGCCTTGATTGTCTCATCTGCATGGTTGAGGCCATTCTCCTGGTCTGCCACCTCCGGTCCACTACCGTGGGCGACAACTCCTCCACTACCGTTGTTGTTTTCCTCATCTGTATCACAGAGGTTTGTTTCAGTTAGTGTTTTATGGCACTAGCAACACAATAAGGTCATACAAGGGCCAGAGATTAGAAGTGTTACAACAGAGTTTTTTAGTTTTAGTAAGAGTTTTAGGGCACTAGCAACACAATAAGGTCATATAAGAGCCGAAGATTAGAGGTGTAACAAACATGAAAAAGGAGGAGAGATAAAGACGATAGTTATTTAATAGGAAAGAAGTAGCAAACAACACCAGAGCATCCGCCAACCACCCATTTACAAGAGAGTAACAAACACAAATAAAGAAGGACAGGAGTTTAGGGAAATAAATGTTTGATAGGAAAGAAGGGGCAAACTACACTTCACTATTATTAGTATTATATCAAAAGCAAAACAAAACAAAAAAAAACACCCAAATCAAACACAAAATGGCACTGAGATGTCATAGTTTCCTTTCTATAAATATTTTTAAAATCTTCACACCATAATTTTTCTTCTTTGATCTCTCATCTTAAGATTATAGGTGGTATCTTCAACAGCTGTTTTAAAAATCAACATTATTATATTAAATAATCTCGTTCCAGGCATATGAGAGATAGACATACATTCAAGGTCCCATCTCATTCACAACACTGTACGGTAAAGGAAACACAACATTTATCTCAGAAACTAAATAGAAGAGACAAAGAAAGAGGAAGAAAACTGTGAGGACCCATAAGGCAGATGCAAGTGCCGGGCCCCAAGCCTCGAAGGGGTCCACTCCAGCGACTGGAGGGCCTTCCCTCGTCTTGGAGTGCAGGAGACGAGGAAGAAAAGTGACTGGTAACACAAACACAAGCACATCCTTCAGCACTGCAAGACACACAGGGCCCTGAGACAGGAAACGTGGCCAGCCCCACTGACACAACAAGAGAAGCTATATGGGCCCACAGATGAACTGAGCAGGACGGCTCAATTTAAGACAGATATCAGACTTCAAGTGTGATGCGATCGAGAAGAAGAAGAAGAAGAGGAACAAATCTCACTTGGTGTACCTCCATTCTCTCCCCGGTCTGTGATATGAGACAGACTTTCCTTGCTTGAGCTTCGAAAATCACCAAACAAGCTCAGCAGGTTAGCATACTCGCCCTTATTTGACAAGAGCTGAGGGTGGGACCCATGCTCTGCCAATCCACCATCTTTCATCACCAGAATCTCATCACAGCTTTCTAAATACTGAAATTCAAAATGAAAATGAATCAATAAAAGCAAGAAAAAATTATTTTTATTTAAATGACTGCAACAATAATATTACTGAAAAGAAACTTTTATGCAAAGAGCATCTTTTAGCACTTTGATTATTCCATTCCTTTCAGCATTTTCATCATTTCTAAGGAATAAGATAATTTCTCTTTCAGTACAAATTGAGAAGCTTCTTTACTCAAATGTAAATACATATGTAAGGCATCGTGGTGAAATCAGGCGCTCATCAAAATAGTGAAATCGAAGGAAGAGGCAATTTGACAATTATAATTGAATTTCTGTTTTTTCGCTCAACACTTTTTATGTCCATCTAAAAACACATTTTCATATGAATTCCACTGAAAAAAACATTGACTAATGGCGCAAAATAAGTAAATATTCAGCTCTCAATGACTCTCAAACTATAGAAGTTACTCAACTTTGGCAGTCATTTTCTTGCTAATTTTACATCAGAAACCAAGTTACCCTCACTTTCTTCAATTGCAAATGCCTCAACGTCTTTTCAAGATAAATGAGTATTTTTTTCATGAAAAGCAAGGCGAATGCATAAGCTTTCCAGTGCTACCAATAACTCCTCATGCCCAAAACGTGACGAGCACCTGATTCCACTGAGTCAAAACACATTATATCAATAAAGTAAAGCAAAAATAAGTTTTCTTCAACTCTTTTCTTCAAACACAGCTTAAAGTTTAACACTTTGCAGTCACAAAGCCAGCAGTACAAAATACCCCATCTGGTCACCCAGCCAGGACTAGAGTGACTGCAATGGACTTTTCGCTGGGGCGCCAGGTGACCGGAAACGATAATTTTCACTGTCGCATTATTGTGCCAAGTGACTGCAAAGTGTTAAAGAATGTACATTTCCTCTCCCTTTCGTAATTCCACCATTTTAAGAAACATTTCAAATAGTAAAAAGAAATGTGAGGCGTGCTAGCTGACAAAATGAGTTACTTCTCGCAATCCACTTATGGAGATATTCGCCAAAAATTGACTCTAGGGTCAAATTTGTAGATTTTCTATAGATACAATATTCTTTATGTGTAACACGTCATTTGTTATTTCATACTTATAAATCGTAAAAACTTGACCTATAAGCGTGATGTATCTATTTCCATAAGGCTTGAATCCGAGGAGTAACTCACTTTGTCAGCACGCTTCACAAATGTATGACAAATCTGCAGGCTACCTGCAATTGATGAGTGACCAGAACGACGGTCCTCCCTTTGAGCAGTCCCTGTATGTAATGTTGGAAGATGTGTTGCCCTACTTGGACGTCCACCGCAGACATTGGGTCGTCCAGGAGGATGAGTTCACAATCGCTGTATGCAGCACGGGCCAGGGAGATGCGTTGTTTCTGACCGCCACTTAACGTAGCCCCTCGCTCACCCACCTGGTAGAAGAAAAGATGAACTGTTAATAGAATAGATTGACCTCCTAGGTGAACTGTGAGACAAAAAAGGAGGGGGAGAGAGGGGAAGTGTGTGTGTGTGTGTGTGTGTGTGTGTGTGTGTGTGTGTGTGTGTGTGTATGTGTGTGAATGTGTGTGTGTGTTTGTGTGTGTGTGTGCGTGTGTGTGTGTGTGTGTGTGTGTGTGAGAGAGAGAGAGAGACAGAGAGACAGAGAGACAGAGAGACAGAGAGACAGAGACAGACAGACAGACAGACAGACAGACAGACAGACAGACAGACAGACAGATAGACAGACAGTGTGAATTACATTGAAAAACGTTGATTTAAAGGCACAAAAAATGTAAATTGTCACTTTCCATGGACTCTGAGGCTTTGTAGCACAAATCAACTGACCTCTCAAATGTTTGAAATTGTACCGACAGCAGACGTATAACATGACAGTCCTAGGCTGTTAGATAGGACTATACAGCAGGCTGGGCAATTGCAGGAGATCTACTCATTGAACCCAAGATTGATTTCCACAGTTTGACAAAACAGAATGTTTTTTTACAACTAGACTTAACTACTTTCAAATCATGTGCTTTGACTCCTGACTCCTGACAAAGAATGGACATACCAAAAGGGAGGATATTAACATGTTCTTATGCGCAGTAGAATTGAAAATAGACTGATATGTCAAAGTCATACTCATACTCATACATAGGAGGAACTGCTGCTTTTTCTTTCCTCATCCTTACTATCGTTATTTTCCTCTAGTTCTTTTTTATGTTTGTGAACTGTTATTTCTGAGGCGCCTTGATAGTTGCCTTGCTAGAGAGGTGAATAGAGTATAAGTCTGATTCCCCCGTTTGGACTTCTGCTGTTAACATTCACCCCTTGGCGCTCATATGACCTTATGCAGTTGGGAGCGCCGGAAAACCTTACTAAAACTAAACTAAAGAACAGACATAAACATAAAGACAAAGGAGCGTAACTTCCCTTCGGGAAGCTCTGTACAAAGTTTCATTCTCAAAAAAGCTGTTTAGATTAAAAGAAACTCCTTACAATCAGCAACAATCATCACATCTGTGAGCATCATCCTGGTCACTAACAGCTGTCGCTTGTAACTACGGGGAAAAGATTTGGCAGCAAGGAGCAGCCGTTCAGCTGCTCGAGTTTAATGAGTTAATTGATCGCTTTTAAGGACAAGCGGGCTAACCCAGATTTCGGCGGGGGTTTCCAGAAATCTTGACCTACACCAAAAGTGGGCATTGCCCTACCTGTAGGAGAAGTTCGGTTTCATTGGTGTGTGTCTTTGTTTGGTTATAGAGAAAGCTCTCCTTGCCTTTTAAAGAAACTGAACAAGGGTCCAAAAACTTACTTTCGATTTTCTCAAAACAGCATTCTTCGGGATAGCCCCTTGTGCTTAAAAGTGACCAATTATGAGAGACAGTTAGAATGTTACCTCAGTGAGGTCTCCAGAGGGCAACGTTGCAATGTCAGGAGGTAGAGCACAGGCCTCCAATACCTGTTTGTACCTGGGAAGTGAACCAGAGCCAAATGAATAGTTACACATGCTATAAGGTTAGATCTCATGTCAAAGTATCTATAGTTCAATTCTCATAGGGCCAGTGATGAACTTTTAAGAGTTTCTCTTTGGTGCCCCTCCACTCCCCTTGGCTAATTCATTTATCAATAACTTTTCTTAAAATGCTGGAAGGTAAGTTCATCACTGATTTTTTGTTGTTGACCATAACAAAATTGCTTGACACCTATTTGAAAGAGAATGATTTTCTTTAAAGCTTAACATCTGTTTCAACTGTAAAAAAAAAAAAAAAGCCATTATCACGTTGACTTATAAATGCCAATACTATGTCTCTTGTTTCTCACCTGTCTTCATCATAAGCTTTCTCAAACAGGATATTTCCTCGCACGGTGTCGTTCATAATCCAGGATTGCTGAGACACATATGCCACCTGGCTAACGACACCAACAAAGCCTGATGTAACTTCCATCTGAGGAAGGAGAACACAGTTCGCTGGGAAATTTTCTTATATAAAGAAGTTGATTTATAAATACATATAGGGGTGGTGGCGGAGCAGTTAGTGCGCCCGCCTCCAAAGCGGAAAGTCCAGGTTCGAGCCTCGGTTCGGACACAGATTATTTTCACCCCCTCGTGCCCACCTGCCATGGGTACCTGACTTCGAGTTAGGGAAGTAAAGGCGGCGTGGAAAGGAACTGGCCACCCTACCATAATATGCCGAAGGCCCAGGAAGTTGTCTCACTAGCAAGGCAATCCCCAATGTAAGGATCGGATGCGGGAACAACTTAACTTAACACTTAGGTATAGGCCTACAGTCAAAATTGTCCAAGATGGCCACTCAATGTCAAGGAGGTAAGTGGTTGTCTTAGACAGGAGGATGACTTGGACAGTATCATTGTATTATAAAATGTAGTGTGGGCAGGTGAAGAAGGAAGCATAATTATTTTAGTAAAAGTTTTATGGCACTTGCAACATCATGAGGTCATATAAGAGCTGAAGATAAGGGATGTTACAAGAAAGTAACAAACATAAAAATAAGAAGGAGGAGAGATAAGGATGATAGGTGTCCATAGAAAAGGAGGAGCAAACCACACGAAAGCACCCATCAACCACCCACTAAAGAGAAGTACATTGTCATGATAAGCAAGGTGCAAGGTAGCTTACCCGTCCTAAGATGGCATTTATCAATGAGGATTTCCCGCTACCAACTTGGCCACACACACCAACCAACTGGCCCTGCAGAGACATATATAGGCACACATTAGAGGGTAAGATTTAAAATTAAACTTCATACAAGACATAAACACCACACAGTAACGCTTTATCTCCGAGGTGGGTCAACCCACTACACCGGGGCTATTTTTTGGTGCTAAATCTAAAAATGACAAAAACGTCATTAAATGGGTCATAAAATCGAAACTAGCAAACCTATTTCGATGGTTTTTCTTCTAATAAATGAACTTCCGGTTTAAGAGTGCCGGAAAAAAATTTGATGTCGAAGTCGTCGTAAAGGAATGTGCCCGCTCACCGGCAGAGTGGTTCCGACCTCGAGCTCCTGCATGGGAGCGGCTTGCCGTAGGATAAAGAGTTCAGCTTTTATTTCAGAGGATTAGAGGATGTAACAAAACGCAGTAACTGCATTACAATTTTATAAAGTAAAAGGCTGTATTCAGAGAAAATTTAAAATCAAACAGAAAAAAAAAAGAATCAAGTCCTCAATTGATTTCAGTCCTAATATTGGGAGAAAGAAAGGATTCTATTTCTCAACAAAACAAACCACAGATCATGATGTTACCGCAGCTTGCTTGAAAGATGGAAGATAAAAAAAATAGTGAACTAACTAGAAAAAGATTGTTATATTCATGCACTTAACAGGCTGCATCGTTGTTCATCCCAAACAATTCCCTCCATTACTTCCAAGAATTACCTAGAGAGTACTGAACTAGTTGACCATGTGGAGGTATTGTGGAGTCGTATATAGGCTATATAATAATAAATAATAATAATATATAACATTTATATAGCGCATTTCCAAAAAAAAGTAGCTCAATGCGTTTTACATTGGAATACCCATTTTTCAAAAACCTTCCTTACTGCTTTCTTTCTTCTCATGCAATATACATTAATGCACACACACACACACACAGACACACACACACACACACACACACACACACACACACACACACACACACACACACACACACACACACACACAGAGACTATTTTCATCCAGACAGGAACAGAACAACTACAATGAAAAATAACGTTAAAAGCTAATGAAGGATATATATATTATGAACCTTCCTAAGAAGTTGAAATTTAAAAATAGTAAATGATTAACACTTCACCTTTTAACCTCAACCTTTTGAGTTCTGGCCCACTAAGCTTAAGTTAATAAGCCATGTGCTTGAACGTCCTTGGGAAATCTTCTCAAATTACAATCCCCCCCCCCCCCCCCTTTAGTTCATTGAGGAGATCGGATGTTTCGACCAAGCTTGTCAGGACCAACCTCAGCTGAGGCATACATTCTCTTCTACTTGTGAGGGTAAAAGGAACCCACACTCAAGTGTGGATTACATTCAGGCCCATAGGATTAACTCTTTATCTCTGTGGGGGATAAACCAACTATGCCGAGGCCCCTTTTTGGTACTAAATCTAAAAATGACTAAAACATCACTAAATTGGTAATTAAATTGGAACAAGTGAACCTATTTCGATAGTTTTTCATCTAATAAATGATACCCCATTAAAAGAGACCTGTTTTCGGCAGCGGCAGTTGCCGAAAAGTAATTTGAGACGAAGTCGTCGCAAAGGAATATGCCCGATCCGCTGTCAGCCACTCACCGGCACAGCTGTTCCGACCATGAGCTGCTGGGAGGTTCTTTCCGGAGATAAAGAGTTAAAATAAAGCAAGCTGTCTATATGTCTAATGACAGTTTCTCTCACACCCACCTTCTTCAGGGTAAACGTGATGTTGCTGAGCGTTGGTCCGGTGTAGATGCGTCCATTTTCTCCTTCACTCCCACTGTTCAGGGTCTCTGCCTCCTGTTCAGGCTGCTTTTTCCCTTTTTTTTTGTGCTTTGGTTTGTCTTGTATCCCTGAAACAAAGTTAATAGTCAGTTAGAGATGTTCATGAAAGCATGGGAGTCAATGTTACACACATTTTTAAAAAGTGAGTTTTACGGCCCTTGCAACACAATTAGGTTAGGTCATATAAATGCCGAAGAATAGAGGTGTTACAAGAGAGTAAGAAACAATAAAAGAAAGAGGAGAAATAAGGACAATATAATATGTTTGGATGAATTTGCTTCCTATGTTATGTAATCCACAAAAACTTACAAGAATTAGGCTAGAAAAAAGATTAAAACAGGATTGGAGTATAAAAGAAAAAAGATAGATTAAAAAAAAATAAAAATAACAACTCCCCTCTTCCTCTATCCAAAGATTAATTAAAAAAATATGATGTAAAATGAGAACTGGGCCTGTGAAGAGACTTGTAAACTTAGCACCTCAAAGAAATGTTGGCGAAAACTTTTCCCCAATTATATTTGGGCAGGATGTACAAGAGTGAGCTGCTAAGAAAGAAATAATTTTGAAAAAGTGAAGTTTCCATACAATTTTTTTACACGAACTTCATCTGAATATGGATTGAATACACAGTGTCTCTTGCCATCATGAGCATGATCCTTGAGCTTGCCAAAAGTGCAACTTCTCTTTCAGATAAGAATATGTGAGGCAGCGAGGTAAAATCATGCACTCGTCAAAATAATCACAGTGAAGAAAGAGGCATTTTTCCGCACGTTTGTGAATTTTTATTTAATTTTCATTTTTTGACTCAACACTTTTCAAGCCCATTAAAGAACACATTTCTGAGGGGATTTTATTTCAGTTTCCACAGACTCTCAGGCTAAGTAAATAACTCATCTTTGGCGGCCATTTTCTCACTATTTTTACCTCAGAAACTAGGTGACCCTCACGTTCTTCATTCGCAAATATCTCGACTTCTATTCAACGTAGACGGATATTTTTTTCACCAAAAGCAAGGCAAATGAACAGGCTTTAAGATGATACCAATAACCTCATATGCCCAAAAATTAACGAGCGTCTGATTCCGCCACATCGAGCCACATACAAAGACTTACCATTGCCCATATCTTTCCTCGCTCTTCCAGAGCTCCATGAAAATGAAGCGTTCTCAATCTCAACTGCACTGGACTCATCTAATGGTAGAACTTCTGCAGCATTCATTTCTTCCATTATCAAAATTTCCTAAAGGAATAAAAAAAATATTGAAAACCGGACCATTTTGATTGGAAAAAAAAAATAGACACCAAAGAATACAATTTATGACTAATTTATCCGCTGTGAACATTCGGGGGTTGATATCTGATCCATGACCCTCTTCTCTGTGCAACTTTCCTTTTCCTCCTATTTTTTCACCTTCTTCAGTTGATCATCTATAATCACTAAGTCAAACCATCTCATGCCCACAACATATTTGGTTAAGGTTTAGAGCTACAGCTCAGCTGCCTCCTAAAGAAAATACTTTTCCATAAATTTCTCCTTTCACCCGGCTGTAAATGGGCTCTTGGCTATTGGAAGACAGATAATAAAATGATGTGTGGATGAGGGAGGTAGGGAGGTAGGTGCCTAACTGGCAGCAATACTGTATGTCTCCCTCAAGTGACTTACACATTAGCAAAGAATGAAGAGACCTGACCACAAAGTCAACGAGTTATGGAAAAGTTAATAGTTTAAACACACTAACTCTCCCATAGGAAGGCCAATAAAGTACATTAGTATCTCAATGCATCTTGTCCTGTCACTGGGTATTATTTTCCTTTCACTACCAATCTCCCACTCAGGTATCGTATATATATATAGCCCTTTTCTTGTTTATTTCATCTGTTTCACATGAACATGACTTTATATCCATCGCAAATTAATAGTTTTTTGAAATATTTGATGGTTTCTATTCAAACTATACTACACTAAAAATAAATGCATAGTAATTTTCGTGCTGTGGACCAATCTGGTATAAAACTTAATGCTTACTGTCCCCTATCCGTATTTACAGCAGTGAGCCTTACCTTGATTCTGTGCGTGGTGACGATCATTTCCGACACGGCTTTCATGGCAAATGGTACGGTCGCCAGGGACACTTGCATTGTGTTTAGCAACGACACAAAAGTGAAGGCCTGTGAGCGAGGGAGGTAAAAAGGGGACGTTCATAGAATTTTTTTTCGTTTCCTTTATGACTTTTAAATCTCAAAATTTTCTTGTCACACGGAAATAAACACATAATAAAGACAATAGTTCAGAAAGAGGAAGATGTTTATATACTCAAACATTTCAAAAACAAATATGATGACTTTACTATACATTACAATAAATGTTTCCACTGTGGAGCACATACACAAAATGCTTTAGACATATATTGCCAAAGTTGTAAGTATTCCGAGCAACAAATGCAATCCCAGTTTTACACGAAGTAAAAAAAAAAAAGAAGAAACATAATTTCTTTTCTATCTTGTGTTAACTGTCACTGGCAGAGCCATCAAAGTGAAGAAAATATTTGGCCTTAAAATTAAGATCCTATACTCATCATTCGTGGCGTTCAAATCACTGCTTTCCAAAAAGTCAAAATGTTTACATTATAAATATATAAGGGATGCATTTGGGTAAAAAAGAGCTGAAAAAGTAAAGGCAAGTTGCCATTTATATTCTGTCACGGACTGCGAGTGGCACTTGTGAAACACATTTGGCATAAAGCATTTTCTGGTATCATACAGTGAGGGTTTACCTCCTCTATGAATGCTGCATTATATTAAAAGTTAAAACCTCCAAATTTAACAACCCCTTCCAAACAAGAACAAGATATGTAGCCTAGGTAGCTTAAAAAATTTTCCACGCAATTCAAGTTTAAGAATACCCAATCAGGGGAGGATTTGAACTACAGCGTCATCCGCTCTACCTGTGCAGCTGTGAGGTTGTGTCCGGTTGACACATATCCTATAAAAGTGAGACAGCTCGCGAAGATGGGTACCATCATGGAGGAGCCCATACTAATGCTCTGAACCAACACACTTCTTTCTAGAATGCTGCGCTCCTCCTGGCGGATGTCTGGGGACACAAAGACAGCCGCAAATTCAATAATAATAATAATAATAATAATAACAATAATAATAATAACAATAATAATAATAACCATTGCATTTCAAGGGCCGCCAAGTAATCTATGGTAAGTCATATTTTTCAAATTTTACATGAGAGACCAAAAAAAGGATTAAAAAAAAGTGTTTTGGGTGGATAAACTTCGTTTTCATAAGAGAGCCTAAGTCTGTCAGGACATTTGTAGGCTCCCTTATGAAAATGAAGTTTATCCATCTAAAACGACGCTTCCAGAAAATCTGTTTTTTGTCTCTCCTGTAAAATTTGAAAAAACATAACTTACCATAGTTTACTTGGCGGCCCTCGATTTATATATCGTATATCCACTCTCTACAGCATGCTCTATGCACTTTACAAATATCATTACCCCATCCATCAGACCCTCTGTGAAAACTCAGAAACATTCTCGGCTTCCTCGGAAGCATAGAGATCACTCGAAGGCCTATAAGTATAGCGGTAAAATTTTTTTATACTCTTGCTAGACTAGACTAGCATTGATTTTTTTTACCATCAGCCCCTTGACCTGGCTCACATTGAGTCACTTTCGGCCCACCTGGTAACTACGTGTAACTGTAAGACCTTTTTGTTGAAATACATGAAACGGTATGGGTTTAACGGCCCTATCAACACCATTAGGTTATTTAAGAGGTGGGGCCTCCTAGTGTAACGTCCGTCTCCGAAAGGACCGAGCCAAGTGGGAAATTCGTGTAAAGTGTCTTTCCCAAGGTCACAACGTTGGACCGAGCTGATGCTCGAACCCCCAAATCCGCAATCTCACGATTACGAGTCCGGTAGCCTAACCACTAGGCTACCGACGCCACCCTTTTTTGTTAGGCCCCTTTCCTTGATACTAATACACCACTACATTAGCCTTACTCTTAGTTTCTCTTGAGGAAGCCTATGTGGTGAAACGTTGAGCCGATTAAATAAACAAATTCAAACATTTTTAATTTACATAAATTTTGGTCAGCAAGTTTATCAAGACTTTCCCATCCTTCTCTTCTTTTTCAACAATGATGATACTGATGGGGATGATATAGCATAAGAGTGGATTAGGTAATGCGGTTGAGAATCTGTTAACTCTTCCAACCCCAGGCTCGTTTATTTTCAGCAGCACTTGTATCTCCCACCGTTCCAAAAGCGTATATTCTCCATTTCGGGGGTTATCAAATTTGCACTTTTTCGAAATTAACTAACCTAATTGAACTTTAATTTTCATAATAATTGTCCATTTGCCTTAAGACATAGTTATATGTTATGATCTAAAACTCATTACAAAGATACTACATCACTTTTTAGAAAGCATGCCTCTTTTTTTTTCTTCTGAAATACCGCTGTATTGGCTGGGACTGGGGTTAGGGAGTGCACAAAATTGGCTGGGGCTGGAAGGGGGTTAAATCAATGATGACAATGTTTGTTAGTTACTCAGTTTCAAGTTTCAATTTTAGCGCCTACTCTAGATCCCCTCAGGCTGTCCTTAGGACACATCCCTCGGATCGTTCCCTCTCCTCGCATAGAGGTATCAAATTTTGAAACTAAATCTTCTTCACTTCCCTAACGCGTAGTAAACGTTAGCCAAAATATCACATGTGGGCAGCTTCTAGTTGATGACTGTGTTAGTGTTATGAACCTTATCCCAATAAAGCTATTACTGGTACAACGCTGGCAGCCAAATCCCTGTATATTTGTGTGTATGCCTAAAGAAAGGTACCAAAAGTCCGATAGTAACCATTTTGAGTAAAAGGTTGTACCTAATAGGAAATTCAATGCTGAACACAGTGGTTTTTTGAATTTTTGAGATATCTCAAGTAGTTTTTGAGACATTGCATATTTTGCGAGGTAGGGTATAAAGATCTAATTTTGAGAAAATTAGCTTTTAAGTTTAGAACACATGCAAACTTGAAAAAAAAACGATGATTCAATTGTTTCTAATGTATGTATTCATGGAAATTCATTTCCAATTCGGCATTCAGTTGAAATCAATTATTGATTAGAATTCCTTGGTAAAACATAGCGGGGAAGAGAAAACAAGCTTCAGGAATAGATTTTAAATACCTTTTAAAAGCAGCTATTTTCATGATCTTTTTTAAAACATACCCTACTCTCAAAACAATTCCCCCCAAAATACTTAGAAGTCAAATATCAATAAAAACTCATTTAACACTTCGTTAAAAAATGGTGAAACATTTGCTGAAAACACATTTTGGTAAAAAAAAGTGATAATTTTTGTCATTATCAGCCTGAAGCTCAAAATGATCTGGCGACTTTTGGCACCTTTCTTTAGGCTACACACATAAAATTTATTAAAGATGCTCTGTTAGATTTGAGATAAAAGTTGGTCACACATTTTAAGTCTTTTGTAAGACAGTTCTGTAACAGTTCTTCCTTAATCCCAAAGCCTTTAATTGACTGTCAGAGAGCGTAAAATGGCAGCTGCGAAGGTGTTATAAACATAGAAGACAAAAGAACCAAGCTTTTGACCAAGTTGTTTGACCTTCTATGAGATGACTATAAGAACTCCACACCATTTACCCAAGGGATGGAGTCAAGTGGGTCTATGTAGAAAAACTAGGGATAAAAGCCAAGTAAGTTGCCCTCTGTCCAGACCTGCATTAACCAAGAATAAAGCTAGTTACTTAGGCAGGAAGTAGAAAGTTAAGGTCAGGACTATCAAGACCTTTAAGGTAATCTGTTAAAACTTTTAACTGGTAAAAAGAAAATGCCTAAGAAGCCAGAGGAAATAAACATCCAAGATAGATCTCGTTTTAGTTTTAGTAGAGGTTTTACGGTGCTCGCAACTGCATAAGGTCATATGAGCGCCAGAAGATTAGAGGTGTTACAAGAGAGTGACAAACATAAAAAAGAAGAAGGGGAGATAAGGACGATAGATGTTTGATAGGAAAGAAGAAGCAAACCACACCAGAGCACCCGCCAACCATCCACGATCTCTCTCTTGCAGTCACAACCATGATCAAGAGTGACCGTCTAAGATATACAGGAGATTACATATTAGTAGGATCATTCGACAAAATCATAATTTACAAGCTTAAACTGCGCTGGATACTAAGAAAAAGTCAAACTTTTCTCAATTTTGGCATTGTTACTTGTGAGATACTATAAAACATTATCCATTTTACATCTTTGCTGACGTTTTCTATAAAATAAAATTGGTAATCAGCCCAACGTGGTGACAAATCAGCACTAACAATACACCTGCTCCTCTAAGGGTGAAATAGTCTGCACACATACCTGCAATTTTATCACTGAAAGCAGTTTCCCAAGCACACATCTTGATCAGTCTTATACAAGTAAGAAGTTCTGTCATCAAACCCACCTGAAAAAATTAACCCCACAGAAGCTCCTGATTCAAATACATCAACAAAAGAAAACAAAAAATATTGATGTTTGAAATAACATTCGACATGGTATTAGTCAGTTGAGAGGAATTAAAATTTAGTCAACATTAAGAAACAAGAAGAGAGGAAATGTCTCAGCATCAAAAAGGAATGATTAACCCTATCCGTACGCCCTGGGGTCATTTTGTACCCCACGGTTGTATTCTTCACATTCTAGAATACTTCTAGTACGAAGATCTCTTTGAAATTTTCAGTATTTCTCTAAAAATAATTTTGACAGACTGCTATGCAAAGCGTACGGATCAGATTAAAGAGTAAATTTCCTCTTTGGAAAGTGGTGGCACAAAGTTCCCCACATCGAGAAAGACTATGCTGTATACACAGGTCATGATAAGAATCATGGGCCCTCAAATGATGATAGTAAAACACGACGTATGGATAGAGTTAACTCCTTTTTGGGTTGGCATAATAAACTTTCCCTTAACTGTCAAACTCAAAACCATCTTTCATTATGGAAACTTTATTTAACAAATAAATTTTTATATGATGTGATGTGGGCCAATGGCTTTAAACACTTAATAAACTTACTTACTTACAAACTCAAAACCAAACATACAGCAGCGGTTAACATACTAATACTATACAACACAATGACAAATTAAGGAAGAGAAGAAAGAAAGAAAAGTACATTGCTTTTTAAAAAATCCCTCTGGGGAAAGTTGGGTTAAAAAAGAATGCACAACATAGAGTTAAAAATCTAAGCCAGGTCAGAAAAACAACAACGAACAATTCTTCCCCCTCCCTCCCTCCATCACTTCCAAAAAATGACAGAACCACTCAGAAAAGGAAGAAAAGGATTAATGTAGTAGCCACTGTCAGGATACTGACAACAGCTTGTGATTAGTGGCATGCCAAGGAAATAAATATCAAGGAAGTCATTATAAGTAAATAAAGCCTTCCTTGAACATACCTTTCACTCGCTCTCTCTTTCTCTCTACATCTCTCTTTCTCTCTACATCTCTCTTTCTCTCTACATCTCTCTTTCTCTCTACATCTCTCTTTCTCTCTACATCTCTCTTTCTCTCTACATCTATCTCTCTCTGTCTCTCTCTATCCGTCTCTCTCTCTACTTCTCTCTCTCTCCCTCTCCCTCCCTCTCTCTCTCTCTCTCTCTCTCTTTCTCTCTACATCTCTCTTTCTCTCTACATCTATCTCTCTCTCTGTCTCCCTCTATCTGTCTGTCTGTCTGTCTGTCTGTCTGTCTGTCTCTGTCTCTGTCTCTCTCACTCTCTCTCTCTCCCTCTCTCTCTCTCTCTCTCTCTCTTTCTCTCTACATCTCTCTTTCTCTCTACATCTATCTCTCTCTCTGTCTCTCTCTATCCGTCTCTCTCTCTACTTCTCTCTCTTTCTCTCCCTCCCTCTCTCTCTCTCTCTCTCTCTTTCTCTCTACATCTCTCTCTCTCTCTCTCTTTCTCTCTACATCTCTCTTTCTCTCTACATCTATCTCTCTCTCTGTTTCCCTCTATCTGTCTGTCTGTCTGTCTGTCTGTCTGTCTGTCTGTCTGTCTCTCTCTCTCTCTCTCCCTCTCTCTCTCTCAGTACATTATGCCTTAACTTATCGCAGAATGTCATCACTTACTCTTCGATCAGTAACAGCTATGCACCTCTCTCTGTACTTTTGGGAAAATTTAGCGCAAACAATCTGGAAAAAAACGTAATGACAATAAATAAATACTTTTTCAAAAGAATGCCATACATCAGAGGTGGAAAAACTTTCTGAAACATGAGGTCTCCTTGAATGGGTTACTACTAGTAAAGAGCAACACTTCTACAAAATTGGAAATAGTGTCCGAGGTAACCTTACTTTTACATTATGGAGAAAATACAAAATTAAACTGCCTTCTTATGAATAAATAGCTAAATTTTTTAAACTGTTGACAAACCAATGGAGCTCAAATTTGCTATTCCATTAAAAACGTTGATTTTTTTTGCCCTTAAAAAAGAAACACTCTAAAAATTCATTCAAACAATAAAAATAAAAAAATACTTTGTGTTTCTGTAAGCATCTCCACATAAAGTGAGAAGGCTGTAGATTGCATATATACTGATAGAAATAAATCATTCACCTCAAAAATTTAAAAAAGAGAAAAACAACAAAAACATCTAAATGTTTCTAAATCAACACAAAAAAAGACATCTCTACTGAAGCAAACACACTATAGTCTCCCTCTTTGTCTCTGTCCCTCTTTCTCTCTCTCTTTGTCTCTCTCTCTCCTTGTCTCTCCCCCCCCCCTCTTTCTCTCACTTTCTCCCTCCACCCTCCCTCCGTCATCTAACTCATCTCTGTATCTCTCCACGTGTCACTCTTCTCTGC